TCTAAAATTAGGTAAGCTACTGGTGTAAGCTTTTTCTGTACAATAAAGTTAGTCGGAGTTTCTTTCTTCAGCGCTGTCCGAATCTGAATCTTTATCACTCTCAAAGTTGATTATTAAAGGTTCGATGTCTGGTCGATCAAAAATTCGTTCTCTTTCATACCATTTAAAAATTTCTTGCTCAGTATGTCGAACACTGTTTTTCCACATGGCTGGGGTAACCGTTTGTAGAGCCTCGTTCCACATATCCAAACAGTCTTTTTCACTGTTACCATCTCTACCAATATGTCTGTTATAGTAACCTTTTGCTATGCCCCAAATTAACTCAATAGGGTTAAATATACAATGGTAAGGAGGCAGACGAAGAACTTTGTGCCCATGTTGTTCCGCCAATTCATCAATCACGTATATTTTAGGTGGTTTGTTTCCAAAAAAGCAGTTATTTTAAGAATAGCAATAAACAAAAGAAATATAAACTGTCGACCAAAATATATATAATTAAGAAGCATTATGTACCGAGCAACAATACTCAATAGCTCTGTTTTAAACATTGTGTTTAAAAATGGTATGTTTTGATTTGTCAACCAGTCTTGGATATTTTTTTTTGTCCATGCATTGTTGGGCACTTTGTTCAATATCATGCTGTGATAAGGGGCGTTATCCAGTATAATCATAGATGGACTCTCCAATTTTTCTAATAACTGATGTTGAAACCATTTCAAAAAATTGTCCTGGTTCATCTCTCCATGGTAATCGCTCAATTTTGTTTTCGAAGAAAATATCGCTTCACTACCCTCAATAAACCCATTTTCATTTCCAGCATGTAATATAATGTATCTAAAATATATTAGTTTTAAATTTTATAGTGCAAATTGTGTAAAAGTACATACCTTTTACCATCTGTTTTAATAGCTTTCACGCTTTTTTGGTTTCCATTTTGCCAAGAGCGACCTATGGTCCCATTTTGAAATATCCAAGTTTCATCGATGAAGACAAACTGGTATAAGGCCTCAACCTTGGCTTGATTGTATTGCCTTAGAAATTCCACCCTTTTCAAAGCTATACTTGGTAGTTCCATGAGCCCTCGTCGCGGATTGTCCTTAAGCCACTTAAATCCAAGATCTCTAAGCAACCGCCTTAAAGACGTGGCACTACCATCAAATAATGCCCTATCTCTTAATCGAGACCATAAAGTTTGTATCGTAACTTGTTCTTCTGAAACCATGTGTAATATGACATTATAATTTAGTTAACAAATTAATGCAAATTTCTGATAAGTTATTATAATAAGATCTTACTTTTGTGATACATATTATAGATCACTTCTCGAATGGCACTTGTATCCAATGTCGCTGTGTTGGTTACACGTTTAATATAACTCCGCCTTTTCTTGGGCGATTCTAAATTTGCATCACTTTTCACACCCTCGGAAATACGACTAACTGTCCTTAAACTAATTTTTAAAGCAGCAGCAACACGCTACAAAAAATGAAATAAAATTTCACTATTATTAATATACATTACATATAATTATTAGTAACCTACCTCTTGAACAGCATTTAAAGGCAACAAAGGCCCGTTGTTGTCCCTTTCTTGCTCAAAGTAGTGCATTAACGAGGCCACGAGTTCCTTACACCGACTATTTAACTGTTTGGGCATCTTTATATACCAAAATTGCCTTTATCTACTCGTAAAATGAATAATTTTGTTTTGAAACAAACAGTTGTTGATTTACAGTATACGGGGCCAAAGGATTTATAAAGGTTTGAAATGCCACAAATTGATTCAGTGTCAAAATTAATACAAATGTCAGTTCCCAGTTTAAATAAGTTTCAAGGTGACAATGTGTCAACGCTGCGAAATCGGTTTAGTGCGTTTACATGTCGATAAGTGATTGGAGCGTTTGCAAAACATTTTATTTCGCATAATGCGTCTAAATTTATCAGAAAGCAACTTATGTGATATTTTAATAACAATGTTTATATGACTATTAACCATAATAAGAGAGTAATGACCATTTTACAATTTATATATCACATTAATATGAAACGCAATAGAGCAATTGTTTGTGATAGAAACCTAGGCATTAGGTCGGGGAATTTTTATCGTGATGACGTGCACGCCACTTTGTTTGGCGTTGACTATACTTCATTGCTATTCAACCAACTTTCTTCTCAGAGATAAAAACTACAGACAAGGACCACTCGCTCTCACAAAACATATGCAACCGGTAATGCGTGCAGTTTAGTTGAGTGATTTCTCCATAGATGGACGTTCACAACGATCCTAGTGAGCAAACGTGGAATGAATGTTTGCGCACTAAAAACTAGCTAGTTTGCAAGATGACATCTTACAGGTTTTTTTTAAAGTTTTATACGTTTTTTATCGGTGCGGACCTACGTTACTGTTACACAACGAGATTGTCGACAGTTTGTATTAAAAGTATTTTCAGAAAGTCAAATGCATGTGCGTGTGTGTAAGAGCGAGTAGTAGCTGTGTTACGGATCGGCTTGCGAATTGTGCGGTTTCACTTTCAGCATTTTTTCACGTGTATTAGGCACTGTGTTTACTTATTTCGTATGGCATTGTGAAGTAACAACCAAAAACCGTGGAATGAGCTATAAGTGGCCATATTAATAATAATGATAATAATAATAATGTTTATTGGTCCAATTAGAATGTTTTCGTATAAGTAATAACGGCAATGTCCAATAAACATAATATACCCAAAAAAGTGTACACTTGTGCTTGGGTTTTAACCAAAGTTGAGTTATATTAATACAACAAATTTTCTTTAAGTACACTAGTCAAATGTATAAATTTGCATCATTTTATGATCAAATAACATATAGGTTTTTAGTGTCAACAAACTTATGGATTTGTAGCCTTGGTTGATGTACGATCCATGATTTTAATTCAATTTTTAAACGTTTTTTATATTTTATATGTTTAAGATTAGCAGGAATAACATTATAAAATTTTGAGCATAGAAAATAGAATAGAATTGATGGTTGTGGCTGATAGAAAGTAACAATTTTGGATTTTTTGTTAGATATATTATTGTATGATAAAAATAAATTTGCCGGCAGTCGAAAAGCTGAGATTCATTGTAAAGATTTTCTGAGGGATAACATTTCTTTTTGTGCAACATAACTTTCAAAATCCACTTCTGCGTAATTTCAATCTTTTTATAATAATTATTCATTACTCCCCCCATGCTAGGATTCCGTAAGATAACAATGATTGAACAAGGGCATGATACATCATGTGTGGATATTTTTCGTTTAAAAAACTGCTGAAATATTAATTTTTCTCACTAAATTTTCAATATGTTTATTCCATCTTAGATGGTCATCTATGAATACCCTAGGTATGTGAAATTATCAACCGATTGTAAGTTTCTACAGTTATTCATCGTTTTAATTTGGAGTTGATCAAAATTTGGGGAAGATCTGTTATCGCAAGAAAATGTAATAAAGTATGTTTTGTTGAAATTGACTGTTAAAATCCTTTCCGTGAAAAAGTTTGTAACCTTTTGAAAATCTAATACAATTTTGTTTTTTAAATAAGTCCAATCTTTGTCTGAGTAAATAATTGCCATATCGTCTGCGAAGCCAACAATTTCTCCATCGTTTTTAACTTAAAAAGGTCATTAATATATCAATTAAACAACATTGGTCCTAATACGGTTCCTTGTGGAACTCCGCATCTAACAATCATATTTACACTCAGTGAACTGTTGATGTTCACACATTCTGTCCCGTTTTCCAAACAACGTTTCATGAGTTGATAAATGACTCCTCGAAATCCTAAATCTTGCAAGGTTCTTAATAATTTTTGATGTGTAATACTATCGAATGCTTATTATATTCTACTTTCAAAATTGGTCACAATACCTTCACCAGTACGTAGCCGCCTAGGTTACCTTACATTGTATCAACGATATTGAAACCGTTTCGACGAGAGCTCCGTACAGGACGTGTGAGTATTTTTTTTATTTTTTTTGGTGAGGGGGGAATGCGTTTATGCACCATACCATAGCCCGAGCTACGGCGTGTGTGGGACTCCAGGTTGTCTTGAGGAGACCACCTAATACCCACTAAACCCTAAACCTCCGCGTGGCCCGACTCATCAGCGTCTCGGTAGGCCATGTGTTGTGCGTGACCTGCGGTCTGCTACAACGTCTCCTCATGTGTTTCAGTCTCTGGGAACGCCGGGTTGGTTCCCTTTACCTCGCACAGTTCTATCGATGTCGTTAAGCGAGCATCGATATAGGGTTTGCTATGTTCTCTTGAAACTCTTGTTTTCGAAAAATCAAGAGTTTCAAGTCCTCGACTACTTGTATGTTACCTGGTCCTGGTTGGTCCTGGTCCTGGTCCTGGTTCCACGTTTTGCCCTGTAGTCATTGTTGGTCTAATGCTTGTCTTGCATCTTGGCCTCGAGTGCATCCAGGCGGGTTATGATGGCTTGCATCATAGCTAGCAGTCTGTCATCGCCGTGTTGCTTCTGCGCCGTAGTTCCAGTAGCAGTGGCGGCTGCTGGGGCAGAAGTGGACTTAGTTTTCTTCGCTTTTTCAGCGTAAGACGTCCTATTTGAGGTGGAGGCTGCTTTGGGGGCAGCAGCAGCTTTCCTCGGGGCCTTACTACATCCTTTGTAGTTGGCTGGGTGTCCTTCTCCGCAAAGGCAGCACTTCGCATTTCGTTGCCCTGTTGACGGCGTCGGCAGACTGCAGTTGGTGCTGTTGTGGTCCTCACCACACATGACGCACCGTTCAGCGAGACGGCAGTGTCGCTGCGTGTGCCCGTACCGCTGGCAGCGGTAGCATTGGCTGGGCTCGGTTGATCTCTTTTTCTTCTCGAAGCTGACCGTGAGCATGGCCAGCCCCTGGACCTCCTGCAACTTTTCACGAGGAAGAACGGTAGCGGCTGCTTGGTGTTCCTGGTCTTCATCTGTTGAACCTCGGCGTCTGCGATCCCTTGGCTCACTAGATCTTCTCTGATGTCTTAGGTAGACATCTCTCTGGTAAGTCCTCGAATCACCCTCTGGTCCAACTTATCCTCCTTCAGCTGGTAGGTGAAGAAGGGCCTCTTCATTGAGTCTAGCAGGGTAACTAGCTGCCGGTAGTCTGTGGGTGTGTTGTTAAACACCTTCACACTGTTTCCCGCCGTCCTTGCCTCAGAGAATTGAATTCCCTTATTGTTGATCGTCCTGCTTAAGGATGACCAATCAGCGGTGCCCTCAATGTTGATTGGTGGAACTCCTGTTCCTGACATGGGGGCTACGATGGTCCTGGCTTCTCTAGGACTCTTCTTCTGGGTGGCAGCTGGCTTCTTTGGCTGCCTGGGTGCATCGTCTTCCGCCTGGTGACGACACTGTAGTCCGCGTCGCTCTTGTCGGCTGACGTCTTCTGTTCTTCTGTGTCATCCTGTTGCTGGCTGTCCACTTCTTGGACATCCATCACATTGTCCGATGTGGTCTTCTGGTCCTCGTCTTCTTCTTCTGCTAGGGTCTTCTTCGCCTTGAGGAGTTTCCCTTCGACTTCCTCTATCTCCTGGTTTGCCTGCATGAAAGCTTCTTGCAGGTTCTTCATCTGCTCCGCAAGCATGGTGAAAGCATCTTCTTTCTGCTTTAGCTGGCTCGTCAGCTTCTCGATTCTCGCCATCGTAGATAGCAATCGTATCGCAATAAGATCGCACAGTAAGTCCGGGTGGGTCGCAGTCGCACAAGTGTACACTCGCAACGGAACTGAGTATGAGTACTTGCCGTTGACGCCCATTCATTAACAAGCCCTCAAAGGCTGTCGTTCGCCAGCCGACGCCAGGCGGTGAAGTTTTACCGGTTGTAAACCGGACGCTCGCAAAGCTCGACACTCGCGACTTTTTCCTAATGAGACTGTTTCGGATACGAAATAAAAGATAGTCTGAAAACAGGTTCTGCTGCCGATGCGATTGTCCGCAGTTTACCTGCAATGTGTCCTAACGACCTGAGCTGACAGACTCGTATAACAGCTGGAGAAACAGTTTATACGTAACATGCAATGCCTTTTGTAGATCGGTTGTCTTTTTTAGATATTATTTTTCTAAATTAGTCAAGTTGGAGTAGTTGTCGAGGTACTAGAATTACTACAAATGCTCAAAGTATAGATTGAAATCTCGATAAACCGTTTTCCATAGTTCTTCGTAGAGCACTATAGATTTTTGTTATCTAAAGTTGTTCATCGTGCTCAACCAAGTAACGGGGCTCCTACAATCACGAGCATCATCTGCTGAGGTAACGGGGGGTGAAAAGGAAACGAGGGTGGGCTGGGCCTACATGGTCGTCGGCGCTACTTTAAAAGAGGAAAGGATAACTGCCGGTGCATACCAAGGTAAATTTTTATTTAGTATTTTTCTCCCCTTGTTACCGTTCGTCGATATTGTGTTGTTGAATTGTTGTTCGTGTGATTGTTCTTGAGTGCCCTTTTTATCAAGGCTGATAATGAACAATAAAGGGTCATATGCGACCAGTTTAATTACGAATGCAGTGAGTTTAATTCATGATGAGGTCAACAATAGTGTGGAGCAGTTCAACTCTATAATCGCAAAATACATTTGGGTAAGCGAATAAATTATTGCAAGAAGAGGTCATACCATGGAAGATGTGCTGCAGCTGTAGTGAGCCACAATACCCAGCGGCCTGTATATGTGGTCTAAATACATTTGCGTTCTAAGCTTAGTCCAACCTCGCTTATCGCTAAGATGTAACAAAGACTCAAACGCAAGGATCTTGAAAAGAAACTAGGACCAAAAAAAGCTGATATAAAAATAACTAACAATTCGGATAGCAATTCCAAACAAAATGAATAATAAGTTGCCCTCTTTAGATTGCTGTTGAATAACTGCAAAAATCTATTTTCGTGACCTTCTTAGACAGCCGGCCCAGGGTTTGATTTTAAAGTTTTATTCGAATTTAATTGGGTATTTCATTGATTCTACCTACTGAGATGGAGTTCTCCTCAACATTTTCTTTCTTTTCAATAAATCACATAGTCATTTCAAGTCTGTGTCATTCATTACCTAAAACTTGAATTTGGATGAGCTTGCACCACAACTGGGGGCGATTCACCACCGACCTGTCCATAACCTTACTTGGGTGTATAACAGAAAGCAGAACTATAGGCCTGTAATTGTAAGGATCCATCCCATTTTTGGGATGCGTTGGACAAGAGCAAATTTCCAGTTTTCTGGGAAGGACCGGATTCGTAAGGCAAGAAACGCTCTGCACACCTCTTCAATAGAACGGCAATCGCATTGCTGCTTGTTTAAGTATCTATCGTGAGATAGTAAGGCTCAGCGTATAATCTAAAAAATATTCTTTAATAAAAGTTCATATAAAATATACAAAAGTTCACTTATTATTGTACAGCTAACAATATTCTGTATTCAGTCTATCTCAAAAACGATAGCTTCGATATACTAAACTTCAAGGCTTTGGTTTCGTTTCAAGCTCCATCATACCATATCTTCTAATAATTCCTGTTTCTGAGCCTGGACTCTCTAGCATCCCACAGTACTTCCTCGGGAGTGAACAGTGCTCTGTCCCTTCTGCCATATCCCGCCCCCAAGTTTCTCGAACTGGCTCCGCTTCTGCTCGAGATTTGGTCCGGTTGAATACGTCTCTGTTGTTGGTTAGAGTCTGCTTCGGTTTGGTCAGTCTCTAACGTTGCTTCTCTACGTTGATCTGGTACAAATGTGCCTCTTTGCTCTTGGTTAACTGTATTCGTGGTTGTTGAAAAGAAAAAAGGTTATGGTTTAACAGGTTTTTCAAGAATCGGGCCCGATTTTGCTAATTCGGACACAGAACTCGATCAACGAGAAGGCGTTTTTGAGGTTATGTAGTTGGTTTTGCCGTATAATGTAGTTTGTAGATATGTTTCTTGCTTTGACTTGCACACTATCTGTGAGTGGCAGGGGTATTACGTAACTTGAGAAGTGACATTATGTCGTTTTTTCACACTAATTCGTTCTTTTACATTAATTAGGTTTTTTATGACATATACTAAGTGACATATAAATCCGAACATCCAGTTTAAATGGTTTTATTTTAATAAAAGTTGGTGAATGTATTTATCTTACTGTAAATAACAAGTGAAAAAATTTTCAGCCTTATCAGTTGGACATTCCGGTTTTTATACTGCTTTTTTTTAATTCACTAACGCTCTAAAAATGAATATTTCAGCCGCAGTAAAGAATCAACGTTGGCGGATTTTGGTTCTTGACATCCTTTACGATCGGTTACGATGCCTAGAGTACGGAGATCTGTACGATTTCGTCAACCTAGTGAGTTTGATAGGGGCCGTATAGTGGGACTTCGGGAAGCTGGACTTCCTTTTCGGGCAATTGCAGTTAGGGTGCAAAGAAGTGTAGACACAGTGGTTAGGTGTTGTCAGGCATGGCTTCGAGAAGGCCGTACGCAAAGAGCAAGGGGCACTGGACGCCGCCGTAGAACAACAGACCGTGAAGATCGCCGCCTAAGATTATTGGCCTTAAGGGACCTTTTCTCCACTACCAGGTCCGTTGCAAATGAATGATTTGCAGAACACGGAAGACCTATTGGCATGCGAAGTGTTTACCGACGAATGAGAAGTTTTGGCTTGTTTTCATACCGGCCACACTGGGTCCTCCCTTTAACTCGAGAACACCGACGTAATCGCCTTGAGTGGGATCAGGAATGGAACAGTGACGAGTCTCGATTTTGTTTAGGCATGCACGATGGTCGTGCCAGGGTTAGAAGGCGACGTGGTGAAATGAGGAATCCACAGTTTTTTGTTGAAAGACGTGTTCATCACACTGTTGAGTTATGGTTTGGGGTGCTATAGCTTATGGTTCCAGGTCACCTTTAATCTTCATCAGAGGTAACATGAACGCGCAGCGTTATATCCACGAAGTTCTAGAACCCCATCTTTTACCCTATCTTGACACCCTGGCAGATCCAACTTTCCAACAAGATAATGCCCGACCACATGTTGCAAGAGTCACAATAGACTTCTTTCAACATAATGATGTCACATTGTTACCATGGCCACCAAGATCTCCCGACTTATCCCCAATTGAGCACGTGTGGGATATGATGGGTAGGAGATTGCTCAATTTGCAACGTCCTCCTCAGTCTCTAGAACCACTTCGAGAGGAGCTGGTGGTTGCCTGGAATGAAATACTACAGGAGGACATTGTCCACCTGATCAGAAGCATGCCTAGGCGCGTTGGAGAATGCGTAGCACATCAGGGTGCATCCACACATTATTAAAGGTCAAAGGGCTTTAAAGCAGTGCAATCATTTTGAAAGTTTTATCATTTACTTATTATGCTTCATTAAGTACTTATAACAAAATTTTATTAAAATAAAACCTTTTAAACTGGGTGTTCGGATTTATATGTCACTTAGTATATTATGTAGATTTTTCTACAAGACATCAACTTGGAACTAGCTATCGTTCACTTCATGCTCACTTGCAGCCAGCGCGGAATGAACTATTTGTACATTAGCCTACTTAATCAATACGTTGACATTTTATCGATTCTGTTGTCAGCTGACGAACCAAGCTGAAAATTTACTAGTAAGGGACATTGAATACATATGTCAAAAGTTATTACTATTTTGTTGTATTCACTATGAACAACTGACATTACGTTAAGGATTTTGAGTTCACATAACTGAAAGCTCTCACCTTCCAAGTTGTTTCCCGTAGCTTGTTGCTGTTGAAGTCCCCATCCAGGTCTGGTGTTCCTGTGCCTTTCGATCTGGTCAGCGTTGAGCACCCAGAAAGGTCTGTTCTCCTTTGGCCATGTGTTTACCCTTTGGACTAGCTTGACGTCCCCTCTGGCGTCTACCGGGATGGGTTCAGTTACTGCATTTACATCGTCAACGCCGACTCTGTCGAAAAATTCTGTTTATAGCTTTCTTCTATACGAGGTCTGTAAATTAATTGATGGGACTGGCAACGTAGCGCTCAATCTGGCAACACTGGAGGGGCCGGGCTTGGCGGGGAGACAGCGGAACATGTAATCTGCCTTTAGTATAAGTTTGAACTCGCCCGAGTCATTTGGTTGTCCGTTTTTTCTATTGTGTTCTAAAAATGATTTATGAATATGAAAAAATCAGTCTCGTCACTTCATTTACAGATCTCGTACATTCAGCTGATATAATAATTATTTATAGGTTTATTTGAATCCTTATTTAAAGCGGAATTTCCATATTGATTATATAGTAGCTAATTTGAGACGATTAGTATTTAAATTTAAGTACCTTGGTGAATATTTAGACCATGAACCAATGAAGATGTTATGTCTTCTATCATGCACTTATTGTCACCTCAATTACGCCGTACTGGCTTGGGGTGGTGCACTCACCAACCAAATTAAGAAGCTGGGAAATCCGAAACGAGAGAGCTCGATCTTAGGCATTTTTTTACAATGTTGTGATTAATCTATTCGAAAATAAAACAAGCCTCATTTCATTGGACCACAAGTATGAAACAAGAAATAAATTCGAGGATATTACAGGAGCACCATTTACAGCAAAAAATGTGGGTCAAATATGCTTCAGTTATCTTTCCACCAGATTCTGCGAAACCGCATAAAATCCGTTTCAAATAAAAATAGATTTAAAGTTGAAACAAAGAAATTCTTGTTATCCAAAAATTGACATTAAATAGCAATCTTCACTCAAATGAAAGTTATATGATTTTTTAACACTTACCGTATGTTGTGATTAAATTAATACATTGAATTTATTAACTATGCTTAACGCAAAAATTATTATGAATAGTTTTTTCCCACACACAAGAAATAAGTTATTCTTATTTGCGTATGTATACCTATACTAAGTGACATATAAATCCGAACACCCGGTTTAAATGGTTTTATTTTAATAAAATTTTGTATAAGTACTTAATGAGGCATAATAAGTAAATGATAAAAATTTCAAAATGATTGCACTGCTTTAAAGCCCTTTGATCTTTAATAATGTGTGGATGCACCCTGATGTGCTACGCATTCTCCAACGCGCCTAGGCATGCTTCTGATCAGGTGGTCAATGTCCTCCTGTGGTATCTCATTCCAGGCAACCACCAACTCCTCTCGAAGTGCTTCTAGAGTCTGAGGAGGACGTTGCAAATTGAGCAATCTCCTACCCATCATATCCCACACGTGCTCAATTGGGGATAAGTCGGGAGATCTTGGTGGCCATGGTAACAATGTGACATCATTATGTTGAAAGAAGTCTATTGTGACTCTTGCAACATGTGGTCGGGCATTATCTTGTTGGAAAGTTGGATCTGCCAGGGTGTCAAGATAGGGTAACCGATGGGGTTCTAGAACTTCGTGGATATAACGCTGCGCGTTCATGTTACCTCTGATGAAGATTAAAGGTCACCTGGAACCATAAGCTATAGCACCCCAAACCATAACTCCAACAGTGTGATGAACATGTCTTTCAACAAAAAACTGTGGATTCCTCCTTTCACCACGTCGCTTTCTAACCCTGGCACGACCATCGTGCATGCCTAAACAAAATCGAGACTCGTCACTAAAGATAATATTCCTGATCCCAGAGTGACCGTTGTCTGCACCACTCAAGGCGATTACGTCGGTGTTCTCGAGTTAAAGGGAGAACCAATGTGGCCGGTATGAAAACAAGCCAAAACTCGTCGGTAAACACTTCGCATGCCAATAGGTCTTCCGTGTTCTGCAAACCATTCATTTGCAATGGACCTGGTAGTGGAGAAACGGTTCCTCAAGGCCAATAATCTTAGGCGGCGATCTTCACGGTCTGTTATTCTACGGCGGCGTCCAGTGCCACTTGCTCTTTGCGTACGGCCTTCTCGAAGCCATGCCTGACAACACCTAACCACAGTGTCTACACTTCTTTGCACTCTAACTGCAATTGCCCGAAAAGAAAGTCCAGCTTCCCGAAGTCCCACTATACGGCCCCTATCAAACTCACTAAGTTGACGAAATCGTACAGGTCTCCGTACTCTAGGCATCGTAACCGATCGTAAAGGATGTCAAGAACCAAAATCCGCCAACGTTGATACTTTACTGCGGCTGAAATATTCATTTTTAGAGCGTTAGTGAATTAAAAAAAAGCAGTATAAAAACCGGAAAGTCCAACTGATAAGGCTGAAAATTTTTTCACTTCTTATTTACAGTAAGATAAATACATTCACCAACTTTTATTAAAATAAAACCATTTAAACTGGGTGTTCGGATTTATATGTCACTTAGTATATTTTGAATAAATTGTATTAGTTTATACGTGAATACGCTTGTATTATTGTATGGCTCTAACAGGTCTGTATTTTCCCCAAAGCTCAAAGCAAAACTACCGACCTTTGTCTAACCAACCGTACATTCATCCGATTCATCCTTTTCCAAGAGTCTTTAGTATTTTTATGAAATGGAATATTTAAAAAAAGTGTCAGTAATAAGTTGCTTAGGAAATTCTGAATCCGAATTATTGATGACATTTCTCAAGGTCAAGTAATTTATTTTAACTGCTTGTAAAAGTCGCACAATAAAAGATTAAAAATTAAAAAAAACAAACGCGTAAAATCTTAGCTTTTCTTGTTTACTACTCTTATCGCTTATCTGAAGTTGACAAAATTTTTGTGTTATTGTATCGTTTTCAGTACGCGTCTTTGTATCGATCAGTTGTTTTCACATTATATTCAAATTAGTATGTTCAGGATTTCTTTAGGTAATCTACGGGGGATGTGCTTTAAGTTTTGCATATAGAAACATAGTAGGCCGCGCGGATCGAAATTCAGTACTGAATCTTAACCACACTCTTTAGTAAACTTAAATTCAAAGTTTCACAACAATACGTGCAGAGTTCACAATACAGTAGATATTTAAGTGTGTTTATTACAACTTTCAGATACAATTATCGCAACAAGAATGCCTTGTTGAGTTACTGTCTGTTTTCGGCAACGAAGCGTCACATCAGTCGGCAATTTCCCGATGGTATGGAGAATTCAAACGTGGACGGGTGAGACTTAGCGACGATCCCAGGGGCAGAAACGGCAGTCACCCAGGAAAACGTCGATGATGTGCGTAAACTCATCATTGAAGATAGACACGTGACATATCGCGAGATTGAGGCGTCCTTGAAGATCTCAAAGACCTCAATTCAAAAAATATTACATGAAGAATTAGGAGTAAGAAAATTAGTTTCTCGTTGGAGAGGATGAGTGGAATTGGTTCAAGCGCATGCAGATGTGTATTAATCTTCGTGGAGAATGCTTCGAAAAGCAACAAAGTCATTTAAAATTACCTACCGTGTTGTTTTATTGCCATATGCAAAACTTAAAAGACATCCGTCGTATCCACACTTTTTTATTTATTCCACAAAAAACGCTCGAGTCTGAAATAGCCGTACTAACATCCAGTCCGGTTAATATAGGCCAATTGCATTTGTCAATCATCAGGGAAACTTCCTGAAAAACTCATTTTCTTCGACCCGGATTATTGCCGATCCAGGGTAAGCGATGTTCGGCTTCAACTGAAATTAGTTCGCGATGACCCGGTATCGCCTCTTGACACGTCAGACGTCAAAGTTCAGGGAAATATTTTAGTCCATTTATCAAGTCTCCATCGTCGGGAAAAACTTTCATAATAGTAGTGGAAAACGTGGGAAGAAGTAGAATTGCCTGCCACTCAAACATCGCGGGAAGATGACAATAACGGATTTGTTTTCAAGGAGTACGGTGGGCTTTCTGATACGTTTGTCATAATTGGAACGAGAAAGTCCAATCTTCAACCAGCAGCTCTAAATACAGTGAAATCTCCTTTGGAAGGACACCAACGGGACCGACAGCAAGTGTTCGTTAAGTGTTATCAGACGGAATTTAGGGTGAAAAGTTGACGAGAAACTATTTTTCCGGGTTAGCCGTAAATTCTAGTGATACATCGACATCGAATTTGGAATCTACGCACCCGATTTACCCAGAAAACAAGTTATAGACGCGCAAGGGTTTTTAGAAATTTTTTATTAGTCGTTTTTTGACAAAGTTGAATTCTTGCCAGTATCTTGAAAACGAGCCATTTTCGGACGGAATGAGCCATTGATTCGGTTTCAGCAACATCTTAAAGTAATATACAGGGTGTTTCACAACTTATCCGACAAATTTTAACCACATATGCACTGTTATAAAAGAAGTTGATTTCTCAAAAAAAATGTAATAAAATATGGTTACCTGTTAACGACATTGACATCTGCAGGGTCCTTGAACCGGCTAGCTAATTCCGGGACCCCTTTAACGCTGGTCCCAGCATAGGAAGGCCTTTGGGCGTAGACCCAAGATACCAACATAGCGCAGAATAACAGTTTCTTCTCCTGGAATCAAATTTTCAAAATATTATCGTTAAAGGCCAGGAAATAATTTATGTTTTCATTATATTTTCGCGTCAGTAAATTTTTTGGTGGTACTTTTAGATTCAAATTGTTGATTGTCTTGTTGATGTTTCAAAAAACATGTAGCAATTGTGAATAAAACAAAACTAGGGACAAAAACGAAACAGGTTGCAATAAAAACAAAAACATTATTTTCAACGCTTAAAACAAAAATACCTATAAGATGCTCACGTTTATTTCTCCTCTTTACGTTATCTGATTATTGAAAATTTTTAATCCTAAGTAATTTGGTGAAACCTGATTGCATTCACAGTTAAAAATAGGTAAGTGTAATTGACTGTTTGTCCAGCGTTTTAATACGAATTTTGAGTAAATTACAAGAACCACCAAGGTGCCGCAAAAAAAAAAAAAAAAACGTAAAAGATGCTCTATGTAGCAAATCTTATTCTCTACAAAAAATAGCAATGTTTTATGTTGTTAGCTTCTTAGGTTAGGCATAATACGAAAATACCATAACAAGTATACTAAGTGACATATAAATCCGAACACCCAGTTTAAATGGTTTTATTTTAATAAAATTTTGTATAAGTACTTAATGAAGCATAATAAGTAAATGATAAAAATTTCAAAATGATTGCACTGCTTTAAAGCCCTTTGACCTTTAATAATGTGTGGATGCACCCTGATGTGCTACGCATTCTCCAACGCGCCTAGGCATGCTTCCGATCAGGTGGTCAATGTCCTCCTGTGGTATCTCATTCCAGGCAACCACCAACTCCTCTCGAAGTGCTTTTAGAGTCTGATGAGGACGTTGCAAATTAAGCAATCTCCTACCCATCATATCCCACACGTGCTCAATTGGGGATAAGTCGAGAGATCTTGGTGGCCATGGTAACAATGTGACATTATTATGTTGAAAGTCGGGCATTATCTTGTTGGAAAGTTGGATCTGCCAGGGTGTCAAGATAGGGTAAAAGATGGGGTTCTAGAACTTCGTGGATATAACGCTGCGCGTTCATGTTACCTCTGGGGAAGATTAAAGGTGACCTGGAACCATAAGCTATTGCACCCCAAACCATAACTCCAACAGTGTGATGAATATGTCTTTCAACAAAAAACTGTGGATTCCTCCTTTCACCACGTCGCCTTCTAACCCTAGCACGACCATCAAAAACGAGACTCGTCACTAAAGACCATACTGTTCCATTCCTGATCCCAGAGTGACCGTTGTCTGCACCACTCAAGGCGATTACGTTGGTGTTCTCGAGTTAAAGGGAGGACCCAGAACCATAAGCTAATGCACCCCAAACCATAACTCCAACAGTGTGATGAATATGTCTTTCAACAAAAAACTGTGGATTCCTCCTTTCACCACGTCGCCTTCTAACCCTAGCACGACCATCAAAAACGAGACTCGTCACTAAAGACCATACTGTTCCATTCCTGATCCCAGAGTGACCGTTGTCTGCACCACTCAAGGCGATTACGTTGGTGTTCTCGAGTTAAAGGGAGGACCCAGAACCATAAGCTAATGCACCCCAAACCATAACTCCAACAGTGTGATGAATATGTCTTTCAACAAAAAACTGTGGATTCCTCCTTTCACCACGTCGCCTTCTAACCCTAGCACGACCATCAAAAACGAGACTCGTCACTAAAGACCATACTGTTCCATTCCTGATCCCAGAGTGACCGTTGTCTGCACCACTCAAGGCGATTACGTTGGTGTTCTCGAGTTAAAGGGAGGACCCAGAACCATAAGCTAATGCACCCCAAACCATAACTCCAACAGTGTGATGAATATGTCTTTCAACAAAAAACTGTGGATTCCTCCTTTCACCACGTCGCCTTCTAACCCTAGCACGACCATCAAAAACGAGACTCGTCACTAAAGACCATACTGTTCCATTCCTGATCCCAGAGTGGCCGTTGTCTGCACCACTCAAGGCGATTACGTCGGTGTTCTCGAGTTAAAGGGAGGACCCAGTCTGGCCGGTATGAAAACAAGCCAAAACTTCTCATTCGTCGGTAAACACTTCGCATGCCAATAGGTCTTCCGTGTTCTGCAAACCATTCATTTGCAATGGATTAGTGGAGAAACGGTCCCTTAAGGCCAATAATCTTAGGCGGCGATCTTCACGGTCTGTTGGTCTACGGCGGCGTCCAGTGCCCCTTGCTCTTTGCGTACGGCCTTCTCGAAGCCATGCCTGACAACACCTAACCACAGTGTCTACACTTCTTTGCACTCTAACTGCAATTGCCCGAAAAGAAGGTCCAGCTTCCCGAAGTCCCACTATACGGCCCCTATCAAACTCACTAAGTTGACGAAATCGTACAGGTCTCCGTACTCTAGGCATCGTAACCGATCGTAAAGGATGTCAAGAACCAAAATCCGCCAACGTTGATTCTTTACTGCGGCTGAAATATTCATTTTTAGAGCGTTAGTGAATTAAAAAAAAAGCAGTATAAAAACCAACTGATAAGGCTGAAATTTTTTTCACTTGTTATTTACAGTAAGATAAATACATTCACCAACTTTTATTAAAATAAAACCATTTAAACTGGGTGTTCGGATTTATATGTCACTTAGTATACCTTGCATTTAAATTTCTGGTCAGCGCTTCACAGTACGACAAATTTTTATAAAAATAAACTGACAAAGAATTCAATGCCCTACAAAATTATTTTTATTACTTTTCCACATAGAATCGATGGTTTTCGTGATTTTCGATCAAACGCGCCTCTCAAAGTGGCGACAAATGCTTCAGCCCCATCAAAAAATTTATTGTCGCAGACATTGTAGAATTTCATACAAAATCGCCCATTTTTTTTTGCCTACTAAGCGCATCGTGGAAACGACTGCTCTTAAGACCTTATGTTACCGTATATTCACAACAAATGGGCACTGACATCAAGCGCTTCAAGTCGTTCCTTAAATGTTTTTTTTGTATTAAAATACACTTCAATAGACCTAGTTTTGCTGTCCTGCCCTATATCAAGGAACTGACCCCTAAGCTGATCAGATTGTGCAGTCCTTTGAACTTTCGAATTGCTTGCAAATCCGTCCTCACTATAAACTGCATTTTTTCAAAAATGAAAGACAAAGTCCCGCTGCTTGGCTTAACCAACACAGTCTACTCCATCAATTGCAACAACTGCAACCAATTATACATAGGTCAGACCTCCAGATCTCTTAAAGGAAGGATTACATCACACAAAAGTGATTCTAGGCTTCATCCTGAAAGATGCGCTCTAGCATCTCATGTTAACACAACAGGGCATTCTATGAATTACACAAGTATCAAAGTTCTTGATAAAGAAAAACACCTTTCCAAATGTCCCACATTTTCATGAATAACAACTGTATCACCAAAAAAAACATCTGAGTGTCATTTACTCATATTTGCTAAACTGCGAAAAACTGGAGAACTTACATATCTCCCCAAATTTGACTCTTCACAACCATAAATAGAATCTGTATCTTGGTCGATTCCACCAGTAAATTTCATTCCACTCAAATTCTAATAATTCTCTTCTCACGATTTAATAATAATTGTTAATTTAATTTCCCATTAATTAAAATATAGTTTATTCAACTGCCTCTGGTCGGTATAACAATTTCTTACATAACATTCTGAAAATCACATCATCTGAAGTGATTTGGCAACGTCGGCACAAGCCCACAATTCGTTCCATCTTTCTACACAGACATTGACAACCTTCGGCCTTCTGTCAAAGGGTTCATCTCACTCATTATTCCATGACCACCATTTTGTGCAATCATCAAGTGGCTTCACGATGTAATGCTTTAATGTTTTTAAATAATTTTTAATCTGTTTTTAACTTGTTCTTGTCATATTTTATATAATTTTGACCATTGTACCATCTATCCAGCTCTCACCATGTTACTGGACGTTTCCCTCATCCTATACGTAAACAACAATTAGCAACATCCTCACATACTACTGTAAGTTAAGTAAATTTAAATTCATTTTACACTATTGTTGCTACTGTTATCATTGTGATTGCAGCTCCTGATGATGATGGCAAAGTCCATTGAAAGCTAGAGAGAATTAAAAAAGTATAAAGAGTCCTCTTTGCTTAAATTTTGTCGAAGTACCCAACAAAAGGCGGAAGCTTTAATTTTTCACCTAACTGGTCTAGACGACAATGACCACGTCTCGAGTTATATATATATATATATATATTAATGTTATGTGTCAAGATTTTAGTGTTATTGTTCATGGAACCATTTATTTTTATAAACGTCTGTAGGTTTTCTCAGAAAGATTATTATTGTTATTTGAAAAGCAATGAAACAGACCGGTTCCACTCTTACTTCGCATTTTTTCTTCTAACTCACGTGAACCAAAAACAATTAAATGTGAGTAAAGCGTAGTATTACATCAATATAAATCCTACAACTAAACTGGTTGTCAATGTTCTTATTAAGGACTCTACTAAATTCTATTGAAATGAATCTACTGCAATAAAAATGAGAATATAGTGCGAAATAAAAATTTTATAGCAATGTCTCAGCCGTAAAAATCTATCTTAAAAGAAAAAAAGTATTCCGGTACCGGGAATCGAACCCGAGCCTCCTGGGTGAGAGCCAGGTATCCTAGCCACTAGACCATACCGGATTACAGTAGCGAATGTCGATAAGCGTTACATAGCCACCTATCTGCTTTTCAAGCGATTTGAGAAATAATGAAGGAAGGAAAATAATGTCTGTGGACGCTTCGCATTGAAGCAATGTTTTGTTTACAGTTTGCATTGTCAACTATGGAAATATATTCGCAAAATGCCCTTGTTTATTAGTTGAACGACGATGCAAAATGTGAAATAGTGGTATTTACAATATTTTATATTATTTCTACTAATTCACACAGTTGTACGCAGGATTTTTGTCAGAGGGGGCGATCACCGACGCGAGTCAATTTTTTTCCAAAGCGTATTTGCTTCCAAAACATTTTGAAGGA